ATATATAATGGATTAGTTTTGTATTAAATTAAAATACTAAGATAATGGTTTTAAATAATCAAATTGTTTTCTTTTTCAATAAATGACTTTGGTAGGATATTTTTTTCTAGTACAATGCTCATTATTTACCAACAAAAGAAAAAGAACAAACATATATATATGAGAGAAATTAAAAAATGAATAAGTTTGCCCTATTTTATCCGAGTTTCCAAAACGATCATAAGATCTTTTTATTTTTGATGTTACATTTTCTCAAATTAATTGTCCATTAGTTTTTGTTTAACACGGTCCCTTTAAAATACAGCCTCTAAAATATGAGATACTGTATATAATCAATCTATAAGTTGCCTAATTATATTTTTACTAAGTTTGAGACACATGTATTATATGGGTTTATTTAAAAGAAAAAATTAAATATAAAATTTTAAACATTTGAAAAGTTTAAATTTATAAGAAAAATGAAAAAATATTGAATTATAAAAATTAAAGCGTTTTTTTCTTTAAATTTAAACAAATAATTAAGATAAATAAATAAATAAAATAATAAAGCTTTAATTTAGTAATTTTGAAATTAAATGAAAAGTTCATTAAGGAAATTAATATGTATTTATTATTGCATTTAAATATTATGTGAAATTAATAAAATAGAAAAATTATAAAATAACATGTGGAATAAAAATTAATTCAAAATAATTACAAAATGACATTTGGGAAATTAAATAAGAGTTTGACAAGTGGTCAAAAAACTTTATTTTTTAGAATGGATTAAGTACTCTATTCGTCCGAAAAGGCAAAAAGTATAAAGTGTGACTTAGTATAGGTTTTAAGAAAGCTTTCGACAAGTAATTACAACATCTTCAATAAAATAAAATTAATAAATTTTATACATGATGCATTTAATTTTAATATAATTTAATTATATGGTGCTTGTTTTTTTCCATTATGAAGGATAAGCGATGGGATTCACATTAGCCCTAGTGTTCAAGTGATTAGACAGATTAGAATAATTTAGAGAGTAAATTTTAAAAGGAAAATGTGGGTTTTTTTTCTAGATAACTTTAAGTAAAACGAATTAGGAGGAAAAAAAAATATTTTTTTCAAATTTAATTGCTAATAAATTTTATGAATAAATAAAACGTGCTCAATAAATAGAGGCGTTTCGTTTGTTTGGGTCAAATAATATTTTATATATTTGGCATGTGTCTATTCTTAGATAGAAAGTGTATTCCTGTCTGTCACTCTCATACGTATACTCTATCTTAAAACACTTTTTATATATGAAAAGAAATAAATTTGATGACTGAGATGGACAAATTTGAATGAATTAAGTTTGAAATTGATCATTCCGTTAATATTTTTATAGTTTCATTGTCATTTCACGTTCAAACTTCAAAGTTGTATCTATTACACAACATGACTCCTATATCAAACTTTCATTGGGTAATTCTTACAAATTTGTTCCAAGTATTGATTTTCATTGTCAAATTTATTCCAACTTTCTTTACAATAAATAAATAAATAAAATAAAATAAAATAATTCATTTAACTTCATATTCACATGATTTTTATGTCTGTTTTTATATGTAAATTAATATAAACAATGTAAAAATGAAATTGTAAGAACATATAAAAACGAACATGTTTTTACATTGGTTTTTATTTTTATTTTATACATTTTTTTCTTTTTACTTTTTTATATGTTTTTATATTGTTTATTTCATAAATATCTTAAATAAATCATATGAAATAGATATATTTTGTAACAAATTGAAAACCTTAGCCCATTTTAAAACTTTTTATTTTACTATCCAAGAAACCCAAACATTTATCAAATAACAATTAGCAACAACAACTAAAGGGCTTCTAGCCCAGCGGTATCTGGTGTTGTTCTCTTAAGGTTGAGGGTTCAAGTCCCGTCGTGGAAATATGTGGATTTAATGTGTAGTTTAGGAGTAGGTTAGATTTGTCGTTTAAAAAAAAAAACAATTAGCATCAACAATAGTTGAAACAAAAACATTAAAATAAAATGAAAGCTTCAAAAAAAAGCAATTAGCATCAAGAATAGTTGAAACAAAAACATTAAAATAAAATGAAAGCTTAGAACGAGAAACACTTATTAAATAGCAATCAGCATTATCAAAACCATAATCTATCAAAAAGCAATACCATTATCGGCTGAGAACTCTTTTTAAAGTGAGAACTCGTTACGACACCTTAAAAAAATTGAAAAAAAATCTAAAAAATACAAATCATAAAATCGAGGAAAGTACTATGTCGGAGAGAAAAAAAAATTTGGATCATAAAAGTTGAATCATAGATCATAAAAAAAACAAAAAAAAATTCAATTTTAATGATCGCAAAAAAAAATTCAATTTTTTTCTTCCGGATATAGTACTATGCTCGATTTTATGATTTGTATTTTTTTTATATATATATATATATATGAATGCTAAAAATTAAAATTTGTAAAATCATATTTGGTTATTTCGGTTAAACCAAATGGCGAAAATAAAACCAAAATAAATAAGTTTATGATAATGGGTTAAACTAAACATTTAACCAAAAACAAATTAAGGTTAATCTAATAAACTGAACCTTATACTATTTATTTGATTTTTTTGTTTTCTCAACACCCCTAGCTATAACAAGTGACATAAATTGTGTAAAACATACTACTTTGAAAGTTAAATGACATTAGATCACAAAAAAAGACTAAGACGACTAAATGAATATAAAAACAATATTTGGAAGACTAATTTCAACTTTAACACAATTTTAATCTAAAACCTATAATTTTTTATTGTCATTGATATGTAGGGAATTGGTAGCAAAATACAACGAAGAAGTGTTGAAACTTTGTGGCAAACTAATGAAAGTTTTGTCCATTAATCTTGGATTACAAGAAGATTATCTTGAAAATGCGGTTGGAGGGGACCAAATTGGAGCTTCCTTAAGGGTCAATTTTTACCCAACGTGTCCTCAACCCGACCTCGCTTTAGGCCTCTCACCTCATTCTGATCCTGGTACTCTCACCATCCTATTGCCAGATGATCATGTATCCGGCCTCCAAGTCCGTAAAAACGATGGTTGGGTCACGATTAAGCCAATCCCTAATGCTTTCATTGTTAACCTAGGTGACCAACTTCAGGTACATATATAATTTAATCTCGATTATAATATATAACTTGTTACATTTGTTTCATTTTGTTAGTTATATAAATTGGTTATATGTAGGTGCTAAGCAATGGAAATTACAAGAGTATCGAGCACCGTGTGCTTGTTAATTCGTTAAAAGAGCGAGTATCGTTGGCCTTTTTCTACAACCCACGTGGCGACATGGTCATTGAACCTGCCAATCAACTAATAATGAAGGATGGCCCCACACAATATCAACCAATGACGTTTGATGAATATCGTATTTTTATTAGGACAAAAGGACTTCATGGAAAATCACAAGTTGAGTCTTTAAAATCAATTGGATAGTTTTGCATTCTTTTGTAGATGTATGTATTAACATTGTGAAAAGTTGATGTTAGATATGTATTTGAATTTTCGAGTTTATGGATGAGTTGGTCCCTTTTGACATATATTTAACTATTTTAGCATCACATTATACCAAAGAAAAAGAATTTGTTCGACATTACAAAGATCATGATACCGTAGTTCATGTTTCTACAAGTATCTTTCTGATTCACTTTTGCATCATTTTTTAGATGCCTTTAGTTTAGTCCACAAGGAGTGGCTCGCTTCAATATGGTCGCTAAGCATGTTACACACCGCCCCTGACTCTCGTTAGGAAGGACTCGTTACACCTATAACGAGAAGAGAGAGAAGAGAGAAGGTGGGCGTAACACCTAAAATTTAAACCAAAATTTTCCATTTTTAATTTACCAAAATAAAATTTCACAACTCAAGTCATAAAAATCATAAGTGTCTAAAACAAAAGTCATCACAAAATGTCAGAGTATCTCAAACTGTCACAGTAACAAATATCCCAACGAGTGTGTACAATCAGACCTTCTCCTTCCCGCGGTCCTCAGAAGTACCTGAAACACATAAATCAACAACTGTAAGCTCGAAGCTTATTGAGTTCCCCAAGATACCACATACATCACAACATAAATAAACTGCTATGCGTTATCATGTAACGCCCGTGTTTCTAGACTAGGCGTTAATATTGATGTAATAGTCTAGGTTAACCTTTTTAACTCATTTTGAAATAATAGAAATGTATTATTTGAGTATTATGTGTTTTATGCTTAATTTTGTGGCTTAAATAAATTAAGAATAAAAATGAGTGTCAGAAATAAATATTAAATAAAGACGATATCTAAGGATAAAGTTGTAGTGGTCGAAACAAGGATTCTGGAGATATAAAGAATACGGAAATCTGAGTTATAAAGAAGAAGTTATGACCTGTCGAAGTTTCGCGACAGAACCGGTTCGACGCTGAATGATGTAAAATGTGAATTTACGATAGAGCCATTTTTAGCCTTAGTGATCTAAACAAAAGTCGTAGAATACGTTAAACCGAGAGTGCGCATAAAAAGAACGTCTAAATCTGACTTCGTATGAGGAAGTTATGATTTTTCTAAGTTTCAGCTTAGCAGTATGCAGCCCGAAACTCGAATATGAGATCAAGTGATTTTTAGCCAAAACAATCTAAACGAGAATCGAAGATCTCGTTATTAGTAGTGCAACGGTAAAAAGACAGACGAAAACGGATTTCGGATGAAGGAGTTATGAATTTTTAACGGATATTTCCTATCTCGGCCTGTTAAAAATATAATATTAAAAATAAATCAAAATTAGCCGACGGAGTCTAAATGAAAGTTGTAGATCATAGTCTCACCTACGCGTGGATATAAAGAACGTCGAAAACGGAGATCGTATGCGAAAGTTATAAATTTTTGAAGTTCGATAAATCGGAGTACGCCCAGCGTACAGGAGTTCGCCCAGCGTACCCGTATGCATGGATCGAAATGGGCCACGTCGCCTTACTCCACCACTCGAGTGCCCCGGGTCCGTAAGCAGTGACGCATTCGATCTGATCCGCTTAGTACGCCCAGCATACCCAATATACGCCCAGCGTAATCCGATGCTCAGCACCCTATAAATAGATGTCGTGGGCTGCCGAGTTTTAGTGCTCAAATTTTTCTCTCTCACTCGTTATTGCCTCGTTTTGCGTGCAACTTATACCCCGAAGCCCCGGTATCATTCCCGAGACCCGAAGCAAGTCCCGAAGCCCCGAGGATCCCGAGGAGTAAAGTTTCCGAGCCGAAACTCAGCCCGCGAGAAGCCCGGTTTTCAAGAAAGCGTCCCGGTTTTATCGGAAATGATTATTTTAATAGACGAGGTGTTGTCCGATCATCGTCTTATCAGGTGAGTGTGTAGTCACTTTTTTCTAACACATAGATATGAAGTATTCTTTATAAAATACGTGATATGTGTTTATATATTAATTGTTTATTTGAAATAATTGTTGAATGAATGATTTGCACAGGTTTAAGCTGTATATAAATGTATATATTTTTATCTAATAATATGTTGGGTAGAACATGGGTAGACAGTTGGTGTGTGATGAAATAAAAATTATGAGAGGCCTCGTTGTTGTTGCTGATTCAGTCATCTAGCGGAGTTTAGATGACGACCACAGACTTTTCTAGACAGTCCAGTGGAACGCTAGCAGGCTCATAACCTGTAGGTGTTAATGAACTTGGGTGTTCATTTGTTGTACTCCATCCCCCCCATGGTTGCCTTATTTGACATAAATTGCTGGGAAACCCCCAAAGCAGTGTTGTCGCCCCGATGAAAAAAAAATCCTTAGGCTAGGTCCCTTGGATTAATTGTTTTAGGGACGTAAAGTAAGGATAACGGGAATGGGTAATCGGGTTATTGTTAATTGGTGAAATTAAATATAATTATTTATTGTGGGTTGAAAACCCTATGTGCTCACCAGGCTCCCAAGCCTGACTCACTCAGTTTTTCTTTGTATTACTGGTAGTGGCACGAGAGCATAAGTTGGATGACTTGTGAAGATGTTTTGTTTATAGACCAGTAGTTGTATAAAACTGTGTAAGGTCTATGTTTTATTGTTTATGCTTTTGTGTCTGTATCGGAACATGACATCCCGAGTTTTGATATATAATGAAAATACATTTCTTTAAGAAATGCTTTGATAAACTTTATTTTATCATATTGTGTTTTGGGAACAAATTCCGCAACTCTTTTAAATCAATGGATTTACTCTGAAATTATTTTGAGTAAATTACACGAATGGTCCCTATTGTTTGGGATAATTTGCGCGTTTGGTCCCTAACTTATTTTTTTAACTCGGAAGGTCCCTACTGTTTGTTTTTGTTACGCGCTTGGTCCATAATATTTATTTTTGTTACACGCTTGGTCCCTGTCTTATCTAAAATAACTATTATTTAAATAGGGAAAAATGGTGGGGCATGTAAGGTAAGGTGAGGGGTGGGGTTGAGAGTGTGTTTATTTAAATAAATTAAAAAAATCTAGAGAAAAATAGTATTTTTAGATAAGACAGGGACCAAACGCGTAACAAAAACAAACAGTAGGGACCTTCCAAGTTAAAAAAAATAAGTTAGGGACCAAACGCGCAAATTGCCCTAAACCATAGGGACCATTCGTGTAATTTACTCAATTATTTTAAAAGCATAAATGAAACCGGTCTTTTCTGTCCGTGATTTTGGGGATGTCACATATCAGCAACCCTAGGGACTATCAGCAGTCCCAATGGGCAAAAACACGCCCTATAGGTTATCAGCAACCTTGGAGACTAACTGCAGTCTCAGATACACATAAACAACATAATACAAAATAGCAGTAGACCCAGGTGGTCATTACAAATACAACTATTCTACCACACATGTAAGAATAAGTGAGAAGACTCACCTAATACTGATGACGGATAAATCTCACACTCGAATTATCGGAACTAGACTCTGCCTAATAACACAATAATTAACCCTAATTAATAATCAAGGTCCATAGCTCAACTCGCGAGTCCAAACCCACAACTAAGTCCCCTAAGGGCAAAAAGACCATTTTGCCCTTCCCATGGTCCAAAATCCTAATCTTGACCAAAAGTCAAAAGTCAATGAAAGGCAACTGGCCAGCGCGTACGCTGTACTCTCTCTTACGCGGGACGTACTACTCGATCAGCGACCAATCGGGGACAGAACTGGCTACGCGGGGCGTAGCCAGGAGTACGTCCGGCGTACTCCGCCTGATCCAACTTCACTAACTTTTATGTCTTAATCCGTTAAGACACTTATCCCAACTTCAATTCTGACCATCCTAGGGTGTCTTAATCCATAAAGTCATCGACTTTAAGCCTTTGCATGGCTAGAAAGGGTCCAATGCAATAGACTTTAACTTCCATCACACTCTAAATCACTTTACTCATGCGTGGGCCATAGGAAATGATCAAGCAACTATTTTTATGAATCTACAAGTCCTAAAACGCATGAAAGGACAGCTAATATTCTTTGGAGTGCTCCAAACTCATAAATGTCCAAACTTTGGGACAAAAAGCTCATAAAACTCATCCATGGAGATCAAAAAGGAAACCCATCAAGGTATAAACTTTATACCTGAAAAAGATACACAATGAGGAGTGGTTTCTGGATCTACAAGCTTGCAAACAACAATTCCTTCTTTTCTAGCCTCCTTTTTTAACAATATGCACCAAAATCACTTAATACGCTCCCACACTCTCACAAACAAGCTTAGACTCGAGATTAGGGTTTTAGTGGGAATGGTGACTGATACGGGAAGTCCAAGGGATGCATAAGGTGGTTTAAATAAGGGGCAACCCGGGTTTAGTGACCGAGCTAGTACGCCCGACGTACCACACGTACACCCAACGTACTAGCAGGGCACCAGCGGTCCCGCATCACACGAGTACGCTGCACGTACCCTCAAGTACGCCCAACGTACGGCTAAAACGCGAAACTTTTACCACAAGGGACCAATTGTGCAACTTTGATAAAGTTAAGAGCTAAAATGATAATACCTGATAATCGGATGTTACTGTGGGGCAAATGACTGTGATTGGTTTATTTTGTTTTCTCTTTCTTTTTTATTTTATTTTTCCAAAATAAAAGCTATTATTAACAATATCACACCATATGGACGCTACCACTCCATATCTTTTTACAACTTAGATGCTACAGTTTTTTCTATCCTATGTGGCTTTGAAAAATCATGTAACATCCCGTTTTAAATAGAATAATTAAAATAATAAACACGGGACCCCGAGAAGTAATTTTATTATTGTATTAAATTATTATAGCCCAAAATTAAATAATAATTAGTGGGGTGTTGGTTCCGGGAAGCCAAACGACAAGAGTTGAATCTCTGGGGGTTAAAGTGTAATTTTGGGACTTTATTTGTAAGGATTTTCATAAGTCAAGGCGTGTTTGGTAACATTTTGGACTTGATATGTAATGATTTTCAGAAGGGAGGGTTTAGATTGTAAATTAAGGACTTAATTTGAAAGAAGATGAGAAGGAGGGGCGGGTTTTGTCAATATGGATAATAGATTTGAAGGGATCGGGTATAAACTGTTGCATTGCCTCTCCAACCCTAACCCTAAGGAGCGGTCATCACCTTAACATCCAGCCGCCATCACCTAATGCTCCTTCGATCTCCGGCGCCGCACCACCACCCCTTTCATACATGATTTCGACCGGCGACGCTAACCATTGTTGCTGCTACAACTCAAGCTGCTAACCTTCTCCTTCTCCGTCCCTTCTTCTTGCTGTTCGCCGCTGCCGCTACCGGATTGGATACGCCGCCGCTGCTGTCTTCATTGTGGAGGTCGAAGAGCCCAGTCGTCGTTGTTCTTATTGTGGCTGAGAGCGAAGCCACCGTTTGGGCGGCGTTCAGTCGGGAAGTGATCACTCATGCCGCCGCTGCTGTTGCTCGCGAGTCGTTGTACGCCACCGCACGACCGGACGTCGGGGATAGAGAAGAACTCCATGTGGGACGTTGGAGACCTGGTGACGGGAGTTTGAATCGGTTATGTGGTCATGGGAGGGACCGGTTGGACCTGTTGCGGTGGGATATCGATATGATCGTCCGTTGCCGCCATTAGCCGTTGTGCTGCCCGCTTTCCTTGCCGCTGCCGCTGCCTCACGCCACCAGGTGGATGGCCGGATTCCTTCTACAAGCAGAAGCGTGTGTGTGGGTGTGTTTTCTGTTATTAGTGTGTGATGTACGTGGTTTGGGTTGGCTGGAAAAATCGAGGAAAGGCCACCACCACCACCGTGAGGTGGTGGCTGCCACTCCCTACCGCCGCTTGCCGCCACGAGGTGGCGGTATATTCTATTTGAGTGTGTTATTTTGTTGGGTGTGTGTATTGTTGTAATTTGTAACCGGAATGATAATAGAAAATTTTGAAACCACCACCGAGAGGTGGTGGCTGGCGCCTCCTGCCGCCACCGGCCGCCGTGTTGGGTAGCGGTGTGCCTCGTTTGCATTTTGGACTCGTTTGGGATGTTGAAACCCTAATGGGCCCAATGAAGCCCTAATGGGCCTAATGAACCCTAATTGATCAAAGGACCTAGCTATTGGGCCTATTCGGCTAAGATGGGATTGGAAACCCTAATTAGGGTTTAGAAAACCCTAATATTGGATTTATGGGCTTTAGACCTCGGTACCCACATTTGGGCCTTTGGAATTGGACTATGTATTAAGCCCAATCACACCATATGAATTATTTAGAAGAGTGATGGACTTAATGGATTAAGTCATTAATGGGTTAAGTGAGAAACACTTAACCCTAATTGTCATTTTATGTGGAACCCTAATTTTGGGAATTGATCGGGACACGCACGAGAATTAATTAGTAGAGTTAAAATATTAATTAATAATCATTGGAAAATTAACCTAAGGCAATAATGGACTTAATGGATTAAGTCCTTAATGGATTAAGTCTTTAATGGATTAAGACCTTAATGGGTTGAGTAGGAACACTTAACCCTAATTGTCATTTCATGTGAGAACCCTAAATTCATTTGGGCCTTCCTATTGGCCCTTGAGTTGGGCCTTTCTTTTGGGATTTGGTGGTGGGACTATTGATGGGCAATTCAAGAACAAGTAAATGGACCAAAATAATTGGATGAGTTTTAGAGTAAGGCCCATGTGAAGGACTTGGGCCCAATTTGGAAAATTGGGCCATAGATGGGCCATAACTGGGCCTTTATGATTATGTGATATTGGACCATGGGAATACCGATAGTTTGGACTAGAATAATTGAACGGGCCTTAAGGAAATACCATGTAGAGGTCTGGGCCTAATTTGGAAAATTGGGCCACATGTTGGGCTGTGGCCCATTACTTGACTTTTGGGCCTTTGGAGTGTGAGTTGGACCTTGGGCTTGGAACCCAATTATTAATTGGGTGTTGTTTGATGTTGGCAGCTCGAGAATCTATCAACCAGCAGCTGGAGTTTCATCTGCGGGACTTCAGCAGTGCCAGGTGAGTTATCCTCACTATACTTAAGGGTCTAAGGCACCAAGGTCGGCCCTTTGGATTGTTATCTGGTTATGTTATGCTGGTATGATCTGTTAGATCGGTATCCTGGTAGATAGGATGGTATTATGTGTTATGTGGTATGATCAGTTAGATCAGTTGTTGTCTATAGACTGTTATGTGATTATCTGTTATATGTGTGCACATATTTGTTTGGCAGTTGAGGCTTATCTGGTTTGTGCGAAAGCCAATAGACCTGAGCATTCCAACCTGTTGGTTGTGGGCCGTGAGTATTCCATCCCGATGATGATTGGACTCATAGTATGTGGGCATT